CAGCTGTGATGTTGAGCAAGGCAAGGCAGGTTTATTTATATAGCATACTGTCACCCACCCTGGACAGGTCACCAGGGGTTAGATAAAACATTAAGAATAGAATTAAGGTACAGCAAAAAAAAAAGTGTAACAAACAAGTGTAACAAAAAAAAAAACATTCCATTTCTGGTATAAAGTGAACCATATTAGGCTTTAACCATATAAGAATAAGAGGACAGTTGTTCTCTAGAAGCAGAAGCTTGATGGAAGTACTACATCTACAAGAGTAACAGCAGGGTTGTAATGGGTTAAAACTTTTAGGTCTAGTGAACCACATGCCTGTGACTGTGTGTCTGTTGGTTGATTAAATGGTGGCAGCAGATGACAGAAGCAAACTGGACCAACTAGATTTACTGCTACAGCTCTATACATGCACAAAGAAGCAAACACCCCCACACACTGACATAAACTCATGTGCTCACACATACTGTGTACACACACACACACAGATGGCTGTTTCACTGTCCCAGCCCACATCCACCAGAGTCTTCGCAGTGTTTTGCAGCCACTATCAACAAAGTTTTACTACAGTTTGTCAGTCTTGTGTCAGTCTTGTCAGAGTGATAATCTTTATTTGGGGCTGACTGATATTGTTAGGGGTTTGACAGTGGAATCCAAGTACAGAGTACACTTCAGAGCTGTCGAATAACCTTTAGAATATCACTGTATAACTTTACTGATGGTGAATATTAGAAAACGATCAAAATCAACCGTTATTGTGCTTATTGATTTGTCTAAACAAAACAAGGAGGCAAACATTTTATCATGGAAATTAAATTCAATGTCGCCAATGAAATGGTAATGGACCCACACAACCACGAGGGGAAGCAGGTATTCACAGCAACAAGGCAAATGAATATAATGTGTAGTATGTGTGTCATTCACTAAACATGCCAAAGATGGCCTTTTTTCTCATCTAAGAAAAGTCAAAGGAGATGAGGAAAGGCAGTGAATGATAAAGCAAGATTGAAAAGGAGCAGGTGCAGAACTGCTGCTCTTCCCACTGATCCCACCTGATGTGTAACCATAGTACCTACCACACAGTCATTATGGAGATATACTTGCATGCTTACTCTCTCTCTCACACATACTGCATCTCATTCATGGAAAAGTACACACATAAAGACAAGGAGATTCTTGGCAGACAGCTCAGAGAATTGCTCTAAACCTCAGATACCATATTTGGGAAATGAACCCAGCTTAGTTATCTTTGCAGTGATGAAAGCACAAGATAAATCATCCATGTCACCACTACACCAGGATACAGTACACTAGAGTGAGAAATAACAGTCTTCAATCACAAAGCATTCATTTCAGAATCAGAATCAGTTTCAATGACCAGGTGTGTTGGACCCACAAGGAATTTGACAGTGGCTCTCATTGTGTATGTACAATGTTCTTCTGTAAAGCAATGAGTAGACAAGTAAACAAGGTAAGGATGTGTAAATGAGCAGTGTAAATAAACTAAAGCTAGGTTAGAAATAGTCACAATAATCATTTGCTCAAAAACTAGCCCTACACTGAAACCAAAGAGCTGGTGACTCAGGTGTAGTCATCACTGCTCCTATGGGAAGAGTGCAGTGGGACTGTGGGGTAATGGGTGGGGTGCATAGTGCTGTATCATGCCGCTTCTGACATAGATTTTGCTCACACACACTCTCAAATGAGCAAATATAGTATTACACACACCCACACTCCCACAGAAATGGAATGTACACCAAACAACACTGTATCAATCAACCTTCCATGAATAAAGCAGGTTGAAATGATTAACCGGAGAAAAGGGCAGTGTGCAATAGTTTACTGTTGGGCATTATTTTAATAATGATTGCCATCTTTGTCCTGTCTTGTGGGTCCCCTTACCTTTGTCCTCTATTCCCACTCTCATTATGTGCTCTGCCCAGCTCCACCTTCATGCACCTGAGTCTCATCCTGCGTAACCAGCCTTCCTGACTGTTGACTATCCAGTGTTTCTCTTAGCTCACCTATCTTTTTCACAACCTGCTTCTCCCTTGCTTGCCTATTAATAATGTTTGGACATTCCTGTGTTTGGACCTTTAGTTTCCTCTGAAAGCGAGTTCAACTAATACTAACTAGCTTGGGCTCATCTGGCTTCACTGAGCGTAACCAATGGTCTGCCTGAATAACTGGTACCCCAAAGCATGTTATCAACTGGTTCTGATTAGTCTGGGTTTTCCTATCAGTCTACGAGTACTTAACATAATACGAGATGAAACTGTGAGACCTGCGGGGAAATCTGTTTATAGCCAGAGCAAAACATGATACTGTGGTATTCAATGGTCAAATACGTATAACAGAATAATAATCTATAGAAACACTAGAAATCATTTTCAAATATTAAAGAAAGTCTAAGGATATAATGTAAATACCCGTATTTTCTGCACCATAAGGCGCACCGGATTATAAGGCGCAGTCTCAATTACAGGGTCTATTTCTAAAACGTAACGAAAGCAAAACAGTGAGTTTAGTTGAACTTTATTCTACTATTTAACAATACACTCACATTATTTTTTAATCATTTCGCAGCTGCTCTATTCCCATTTACAACCGCGTAACTGATAGCCTGTAGTTTGAATTGTGCCTCGTAAGCATGTCTCTTCACTGGTGCCATTTTCGGGGGTCCTTAGACCGGTTTAGACTGGTTTATCGCTGCCAGCGTAGTAGTGTACGTATTACGTTCCTGTGTCAGCGGGAAATGGTCCAACAGTCAATCAAGCGGAGCGCTTACCAAAGTCGCACAACAACATTTTTACAGATTTTGGAACTCAGTGCACACATAAGGCGCACCGGACTATCAGGCGCACGGCCGATTTTTGAGAAAATTTAAGGTTCTTAGGTGCGCCTTATAGTGCGGAAAATACGGTAAGTGCAGTATTATTGAAGGGGGCAGCACAGCGGCATGGTGGTTAGCACCATCACCTCACAGCAAGAAGGTTCCAGGTTTAAGCCTGGGCCGACCTGAGGTCTTTCTGTGCGGGGTTTGCATGTTCTCCCTGTGCGGGTTCTCTCTGGGTTCCTCCCACAGTCCAAAGACATGCAGTTAAGATTGATTGGCAGCTTTAAATTGCTCGTTGGAGTGAGTGTGGTCGTTTGTCTACGTGTCAGCCATGTGACAGACTGGCCGGGCTGCACCCTGCCTCTCGCTCAATGTCAGCTGGGATTGGCTCCAGTCCCACCGCAGGCCTCGTCAGGAATAACTGGTATAGATAATGAATTACTAAAAATGAAGATATAAAAATTAATTACTAAATTACCTTATTCTATGAATATGTTTTGGTTGTTTGCTCCCTGACTGAATCATTAGTATTACCTGTATTTTTATATCTTCCCGAGCCAGCAATAGCACTTACACTTTTTACCATCATCTTCAACCTCTCCCTCAGCCAGAGCATTGTCCCCACCTGCTATAAGACCACAACCATTGTCCCCCTTCCCAAGAAGAGCCTGGTCACCTGTCTGAACGACTACAGGCCAGTGGCACTCACCCCAGTCATTATGAAGTGTTTTGAGAGAGAGGTGCTGGCCCGCGGTCCGAGC